ATAGCAAAACGATACGGTTTGGCAGCTGCGCCATGACATCTAAGGGCATTCAACACCCTAGTTCTGGGGAGCATACGCGTCCATCATTGGGGCACTGATTTAGACTTAATCGTGAACATACTCAGCTACATTTCCCAAAAACACGAAGATATCAAACGAGCTGGTTGTTTTACATCGCTGCAGATATTACGTGGAAAGCACGCTTAAACTATATTGCGACCAGCAGAACGCGTAATAAACTTCTTTTTTTAAGAAAAAAACACCCCTGAATTTCTGGTGCAGGACCTCGTTCATTCCCGCGGACTTTATGTTCACCTTTTTTATTAGCACAAATATCTGCTTACGTTCCATTTGAGTTCTCAGCTAACAGACGGTGGCTGAAACACAGGCGTCCGATGGAATCTGCTTAGGAGGAAGAAGCGGTGGGCGACCACCCCTGTCAAGGACCCAAACAATGTAAGCATTGAGCTCCTTTTCACCGGACATCGGGCAGAGATGCAGCAATGAGAACGGTGACATAAGCTCAATCGTTTTCAGCGCCGTAAGAACATTTTTTTGTCGAGTCCGATGACATCCACCGACCGAACAAATGCACATCGCGCAGAAACATTATTTGCCCACTGTGTTATTTTATGGAGGCTTATTAATTAAACTTTATAAGTGGTGAGGTCATTTATTTGATGGATTCGTTTCTACAAACATATGTTGAATTTCGACAAAAATGACTACCGTCGATGGCAAACGAATATAGCACAGATTTCCATCTCTGGGTGGCATTTGAATCCTTGAAAAACGTGCAACAGCCACATTTCAGAGCACTCAAACAATTACATTGTCAAACAATTTATAAAAAAACAACTCTGGATGCATGACCGATTATTAATATTAAGCTTTCACGAATAGTCTGAGAGATTTTAGCCTCCCGGACCCGTTTCTACACCTGTGGCGCGCAAAATACGGGCCATCATGCATTTTGCCAACCCATCCTAGCTGTCTACAGCCACGCACACGATAAACACGAATGCCCACCATATGCTGTCTCAAATGGGTCCGTCCAGATATAACGTAAGGGCCGCACCAACACTTTCAAAATAGCTCTCAAATCGCACTAAAACCAAGTCAGAGCATGCGCTGGTTACTATAGAGGTGTGGCAGGGTCAGCAGGACACGGAACAACCAGGCTACTCCAGCTAGCTAAAACGAGCACGTGCTGAAAGAGGTCAGTTAGGACATCGACATCGCCGGATTGACATACAAGTGCGGCGTACACAGTGAGCCTTCTAGATGTCTCATCTCATGCGGTGCACTAACATCACGACAGGACTCCCAGAGCGACGCGACAGAGGCTGCGTAGTCGGGACAGGCACTAACAGCACGACAGGACTACCCGAGCGATGCAACAGACGTTGCGCAGTCGGGACAGGCATAACAGCACGACAGGACTCCCAGAGCGACGCGACAGAGGCTGCGCAGTCGGGACAGGCACTAACAGCACGACAGGACTCCCAGAGCGACGCGACAGAGGCTGCGTAGTCGGGTCAGGCACTAACAGCACGACAGGACTACCCGAGCGACGCGACAGAGGCTGCGCAGTCGAGACAGGCACTAACAGCACGACAGGACTCCCACAGGGGTGCGACAAAAGCTGCACAGTCGGGCCAGACGTTCTGCGATGGCCCGACACAGAGCTCATGCTGGGGCACCTCGACATGTCGGTTAGAGCCGTGTCGTTTGGGATTCAAAATTTTGAACGCATTTTTCAGGCACTTGTCCACAGGGAGCACGTTCAATGATCAATAGAAGTATTAGTCTCGAGATAACCAGCGTCACAAAAATGTAACATACCATCCCATCATGTTTTCGCTGTCCAATGCCACGATGCGACGAAACAACAAGTGTTCTGCCCAAAACGCCAGGATGCTGGTGAGTTTTTCGAAGTTGGGGGTCTTGTGGCGGTAATCTCAGCTTGGTCAAAAGTCTCAGTTCCTTTGATCCGTGTCGTTATTGTAGCAAACGTCACGGCAATTTCGTCCACGGTACATTTTGGTGAATGGCGGCTCATGTGCTTTTATTTGGGTTCGACTAAGCGCATCCTGCTAATATGGTGTAATGCTTCACAGTGTCCATACTAACAACAAAACGGAGTAAAATGGGAAGAAAAGTGGCATCCACTAGCTGTAACGATGCGCTGTGACGAGCTGAAATAATAACAGTACACTGCAATGGGTGTGCTCTTTTCTCCGATCTTTGACGAGATCGCAGGATCGCGTCTGTCGGACACGGACGACCGACCGCACCGAGCCTGCCCACTGTACAGGAGGGACACGACCGGGTACCGCGGGCATGGCTCTCGACCGACACAGGGAGTGTGCCGGTCACGCCTCGGTCCGACTCAGCACGCGCGCCGGAACGGCGCTGGTGACGCGCACATGACACGGCCGTGCAGGCGGTCAGTGGGCCACCCACCGCACGTCCGTGATCGTTCAGCCCCCCCCCCCCCCCTCCCCCTCCCATCCCCTCCCTCGGGCGGCGGCCGATCACGTTCGTGGCGTACTCTGCGTCGGGCTGGCACCGCGAGGCTGGCGGCCAGACGGTGGGGGATAGCGCCATTCGATATATCGAGCGGACGCCTCGAGTCCGCGTCATCCCAAGGGCGCCTGCATTGCAGCTGTCCGCGCCACGCGGCAGCGGTCGTCGGTTCCGAAGCTCAGCGTAGGCCTTCGCCATTGAGCACCGCGAATCACATAACCACACAACCAGAATGTAAATAATCTGTCAGACGATGACGAGACGCACGACAGCAAAAAGCACGTCCTCCGATTTCAACATGTTCTTATGACGGCATGCCCACACGAAGGGATACTACAAAATGTAATGTCCCGCAATATGGTTGACAGGATGGCCCACCTCGGCATGCGGGACTCCCATCCGTGACCGGCATCCACTGGTAATTATCCGTTCAAGTCCGTTCTAATCCCACACGAGATCATGCTCACTAGTTCCGAGAGATCCCTTTACATAAGTTTATAACCGCATGATGCTCTTTGCACTTAGTTTCCACTTAACAATGAACACTCCATACGAAACACCTCCCTTATTTATATATTTCGCTGCTTGGGATCACGGCCACTGGCATTCAATGCTCAAAATTACGCTTACAACAAAGCTAACTGTGCTCAATTTGTAACATTAAACCGACATACCATACCAAGCTCATTCGGGGTCCCACGAACCACCAGAGTTGGCCGTTCTATGACTCATGAAGGTTTTTGCAGTTGGCAAGAATCGAAGGACCGTCGACGTTTCTATTACTGGATTACTCTAGCCTCTAGCCAACGCTAAGCGAGGTCCTTCTGGACCACCCGTGACCGTCTCGGTCTCTCTCCCGATGATCATGAACGGCCCTAACTGGCTGGGAACATCGACCTTTCGACCTTCTCGTGCTAAGAGCTCATCTCACCGCATCTCATCAGCCCTGCGAGTCTTTCTCGGCACCGCAGACCGTCTCACCCCTACCACCGATCATCTCCGAAGATGGTTTCTCGTTGCAAGCCTACTGATATCCACATCGGGACTTGTTCGTGTTCGTGTTCCCACCCCGTGTTCGTGACCTCTCGGTCATCTTGTAATCTATGATTCATTCGGGCTTCATGGTCCGAATGGATCTGGTTTCCTTCACACCACATCGGGCGTTTCTCGATCTCGACTTCCTCCAGTCACTAGTATCAACTTAGAGCTTTACACAGCATGCTCCGAGCCTTCTGGCTGCTTTGCTGTTTGTTGATTGCTTCAGGAACCACCTGAGCATTTCTGTCACTGATTGCATCAGATGACCATTGATCTTGGCACCATGGCCAAAAATTAAATCTGTCATCTGCAATGCTCTGTAACATCCCCCAGTTACAGTGGATCAAGAATTTCTGCCCACTGATCATGTGTGACTGTCCATGCCTGCGTAGTTTGCATGGCCCTGTTTGTTGCTGTTTGGGCCACACCACATTGCAATCAGGACCAGTTTCCAGACAGATGACACCAGCCACTTCCCAATTCATGCAACTGTTTATGTTGGGCAGCACTGAGATCCACCAGTGATTTGTATGTGGTGCACTCACCTACACAGTGTCATGTTTTGTGCCTTACATCTGCACCTGTCCTGGTTGAGATCTGACATCACCCATTGAAAACACAGAAACAACAAAATGGTGGATCTATGGATTGCACACACACATACACCAGCTGCACACCTGTGCACTTTTGCCAGCAACAGCCCCCCCCCCCCCTCCCATTTCCCCATCCACCAAATGGTGTTTGCCTTGTGCTGCTCTGGTATCCAAGTCATATCTGTGTCCAGTTCAGACCATGTTGCACAGCCTGGTCAGAACCAACACATGGTACAATTTCAATCTAAATCAACTAATCGAGACTTTATTAATCTGCATTGTAGTGGCGCAATGAGATCACGTGTGGTACAAATGTTTGAATGCAAATAACTCTTAACTTATACATCACAACTTTAAAAGAACCACACTTCCTGGCACTTAAGACCTCACAAATCTGTGATCAGTGGTGAGTGTAACTTGTGATGAGAAGCCATATTTGAGCATTTTCTCAATGTTTGGGCATTAACTAATGCAACCTATGATCTTGCTCATGATGATCAACACATCAATGCCAAACCCACATGATGCAACTCATAATATAGACTAAATACGGTTTGTGTTGCTCTTCCTATGGCACTACTGACACTTAATAGCTCACATCAATACAGGACTCACATTATGCAATCCATAACACAACCAGAATAAGTAAACTGAAAACAGCTGGCTTCTACCTCTAGACAACAAATGGCATGACATGTCTTCAAAACTTGGCACAGCTTCTTCACAAGTATATGCATGGTCACAACACAATCAGGACAACCCTGACATAGTGTCTAAGTAAACCTTATAACACTGTGCAAACTGAAGATATTAATCTGCTATCTTATCTCAAGTACTTACCTATGAGCAGACATGCAACATCAAAAGTGATGCGCCATGCCCATTCCTTATTGCTCTTTGGCATGTCTTCTGCTAGGGCTAGTCTTGATGGACTGTCTTGGACTCTTGGTTCAAGAGCACCTGGTTACTGAACCTGAAAATACATACAAGCAAATTTTCAATTCAAACTGCTAAAAAAACATGCCATTGCACAGTCAGTGAAACCATGGTCTAAGTGCTATTTGTATTTCAAGGTTTGATTGACCTCATTGACCTTGCATATTTAAAGCTATAACTTACTAATGTTAAAAGCCCCTGCAGTTCTAGGCACTTATTCTTATCTTGCAACTGAACTCTTTGATAAGATGCAATGCAGGCACCAAAATAAACTGGGCCTTAGTCAACTGCCATATAAATTGGCCAGCATAAGCAATTATGATGCCATATTCATGAGGAAATAAAGCATGAATTTAAACAAACTCTCTCTGGTGAAAGGGTTTCAACAGCAGGGAACACATCCCAATTTATTCCTATTTAGTCACATCCCATAGCAGATGTAAATGTCTAACATGCCTGAACTGAATGTCAACATGAGATGAACTACAACAGGGTTGACCCTGTTGTGGTTGTAGTTCACCACGGAGTTCACATCATGACCCTTTAACCCGATAGGTGTCAAGACAGGTTTTACTTCCCTTTCAGATGGGCGCGGGCGGCAAACACATTGCACCGATTCAATACACAGAGTCTAGAGGCAACCACGAATAATGCCCACGTTCCTTTACCTGGTCACCAGATGATGCTGAAAACTCCTGCTGCGACCACTCGCTCAACGCAGGCAAATAAATGGACCGAGGCCAACAATCCCTGGCACATGAAGCGGGAATCGGGACCCCGCCGAACCCAGCCCACAATCCAGCAGCCTCCACCCAAAAATGCACGGACTCGCAGCGCTCAATCGCGTCCATCTCAGGCTTCAACTGTGCCTGGTGCGCCACGATACGTAACTCAGATAGGATATCAGCCGATGATAGAATATGACGTCATAAGAGGTTCAATTCCCAGGCCTGTTCCCATTCTCTATCCTGTCCACCTTCAACTCATCCCTCATATATCGCACTTCGTAGTGCAGGCAGGGGGAAGGGGCACAGGGGACACGTGCCCCTTAGGCTCAGAGGGACCCAAAGGGTCGCTCGGGACCTACGATTTGGGGCCCGATTTGGGGGCTCGAAAGGCCGGCCAGAGGTCGTATTCGAGGGTCCGGCCCGTAGGAGCGGGTAATCCAATGCCAGCCAGAGGGCCCTATGCACTGATCAGGGGCCCCTGAGTCGACAAGTGCCTTTATTTCGGCCAGACGCCACCAATAACGCACAGTCGGCTCCTCAGCGGCATGGCCCCGAGGGCCCACTTCTCAAGCAAGGACAAAGCCGGAGCCAGCGGTTTACACTAGTCGGGGCAACACAACGCCTAACATGGGCCCTGTCTGGGTAAAGGGTACCAAGTTGGCTAGAGGCAGTGTTTGAGGAGACCCGAAGAGATTGGAGGGCTCACCATGTCCGACGATCAAGGGCTCGATTGGAGGGTCTACGAGCACGAAGGGCTGGTCGGATTCTTATTCAGGGGCCTGGTCCGCGGGGAATGAAGCTAAAAAAACAGTCAGAGAGCCCTTTGCGCCAATCAGAGCCCACCGAGCCGATACGGATGTATATGTCGGTCAAGCACCACCAGTGCCGCACAGTCCGCTCCGCATGGACATGGGCCTAAGGGCCCACTTCCAAATCAGCGACACAGCAGGGGCCAGCGTTTTGCGCTGTTCAGGCCCCTGTATCTTTCAGGGGCCCACAGCGCCTTACAGACGGTTGTGCTCGCAAGAGGTCCCGAGCCGACCAACGGCAGTGTTCAGTGAGGCCCGAAGAGTGGCCCGTGCGGCCCAACGGTACCGATTATCAGAGGACCCGTTGGAACGCAGATTGAAGGACCGGCTGTAGGTCACATATAGAATCACGGCCCGTAGGTTCGTGACCTAAAGTATCATTGAGAAGCCCTTCTTTATCATTTGAGGACCACTGAGACAACGCGGGTATTCAAGTCGGTCAAAGCCCACAAACACTGAACAGTTGGCTCCCTGCCAGTCTGACCCCTGGGGGCTCATTTGCCAAGCAAGGGCCAGGCGGAGGCCGGGGGTTACGATTTGCATTGGTCCGGGTATTTGGAACAGTGGTTGACGTCCCTGTGTCGGTCAGAGGCCTACAGTGCATGACAGAGGGTCATATCTCGGCTAGTGACCCCCAGTAGGTCGCGGGCTTTTTTGAGGAGGTACGAAGAGAGGTCGAAGAGCCTCTCGGGACTTCAGATCAATGGCCCGATTAGACTCGGGTCCGGCCTCCCACGCGCAGTACTGTGACCTGAAATGTCAGTCTGAGTGCTTCTATCACGGCCCTCTTATTATGGGTATATCCATTTCACACAGGGCCTCGACAGTGAGCCAGACAGTCGGCTCCATGTCCGTCTGAGCCTTTGAGACCCATTTACCGAGAAGAAAAGGGGCTGGGGCCCGTGATTTGCAATGTTTGGGGTCCCTAACACAATGAGGGGCCTCTGTGTCGCCCAGGGGCCCCAGTGCCTAACAGGGGTCTTGTGGCGGTGAATGGTTCGAGTCGGCCAGGAGCGGTGTTTGAGGGGGTCCGAAGAGGTGCTCAAGGGTCTCTTGACACTAAAGATCAAAGACCAGATTGGAAGCCTGTAGGTTACCTTTAGGAATCCCCCTCGTATGTCAGGATCTCATGATCTCAAATGTCAGTTGGAGCGTTTCTCGCACCGATGGGGAACCCCTGAGACAGCGCGCTCCTCTGTTTCGGCCAGAGATCACCAACATGGAACAGTTGGCTCGCTGTCGGTCTGGGCTCTGGGGCCCCATTTCTCAAGCAGGGTCGCGGCCGGGCCCGCGGTTGACATTGGTCGGGCCCCTCCAACAATGCGGGGTCCCTGAATCGTTCAGGGGTCCACAATGCCTAACAGTATTCGTTGTCAACAAGGGGCCTCGAGTCAGTCAGGGGAAATTTGTTCATGAGGGATGTGGACGGGACCCCGAGTGACAGAGGGTCTCTCGCGTTGGTCGGGGCTCTGACTATGAAAGGAAACTTGACAGGTTACGATGATTGCTCACATTGATGCCGTGGAAGGGTTATATGCCAATCAGGGCTCCCTGTGCCGAAAGGTGGCCCTCCAACCCAATTCCGGCATGGGCCCTTTAAGTCGAACTAGAGTATATGTACCGATTATTGGACCACCTGCGGCGAGCAGGAATGTTGTTGCGTCAATGAGGGTACCTGGTCATTGGGTCTTAACGACGCACTCAGCTGCTGGGGTTATATGGCGTCGCTTGCCTATTGCCCTAGCGGGAAGGGCGGGCACCGCGAGAATCAAACCCTCTGATTTCCCAGACGTGCAATGGTTACTACAGGCGCGTTCACCACTGCACTATTGGCACTCTTAAGAGGCTTCCTGCATCGATCCAATGTCTACCGCAATCTGCACGGATCAAAATGCTTCCCACGTCAGGGAGGATCAATGTGATATGATGCATTCCTCTGGGGGCCTCCGGATCGACCAGGGGATCCCGCCTCGTGTCGTCAGAATGACAACCGGAAGACACTCCGTGGTGGGTATCTTCCTAACGGCTCTTCAGCCCTTGGCAGGAAGCAACAATGTGTCCCCTAGTGTCCTACTCAAGGGGGCTCTTCCCTGGAAATAAATAAAGGATCTGAGTGAGTCGAAATTAATGCAGACACGCACGAGGCCATCCCATGTTTGTCCGATAACTTTTGTCACAGAATCAACTAGCCAAACAAGAAATCGAAGGGTCTGAGCCTGCGCGACTGCATCTCGGAAGCAAGGACAGCGATGGCCTGAGTCGCAGTTTCCGTAAAACCGAACGACGTCGGCCACTGCAAGTAACGTGAGGCGGCAGGTGCCGTGTGCGTGTCAACGACCGTCGTGGAATAATGCTTCCCAATATCTTAAAGTTCAATTCGTACCATTCAGAATTAGGCTGGGCATATCTTTTTCAACTTTGAGGTTGTGCTCTGGGCCGATCAACAGCTGCAGCAACACCAAAAATAGAGGCTCTTCTTTTGTTCCCCAGTTCTACCACCATATTGCAGCATCGCTTCGCGGTGCTGTAAAGGCTAATTCGTCATTTCATCGATCTGAAATCACACAGGTGAAACGTACATCAACTACCTTTAAAAGAACGGTTTGATGTTCAAAGGTATATCTGCCAGATGCGCCATCATTTCCGTCCACCCTATGGCCTCATCTCAGTGTTAGCAGCTGGGCCGACCTGCGGGACCTGCCGAGGCTACAGCGCCTGACACCTAGGTTTTTGTTGCAAAGCGACGACGCATGCTTAGAACTACGTTACATAATTCGTATCACTAAATCATTTCTGACCGAATGTTGAACGTCTCCAGGCAAGCATGGCTTGGCCATGTCGATACAAATCGCTAACCCATTCCGATCTGCATTTGCGGGGTTGTTGGAGTCTATGTAAAGCCCAGGTAAGAATCTGGTAAAGCTTCTGAGCTTTATCAGTTTGGAGAAAAATCCACTAGACCATCATAAAACGAAGAGCGCTGGTGATTTATTTCATGCAGTTGTTTAACGCACGATTTCTTCAGTTGATTGGCTATAAAATTCAGGCAGAATCGATCGCACGGCAACTCATGACTTCTGTTCCAGTTTTAGAAGATAAAAATGAAAAGAAATATAAAAGAAAACCATTGTCTCATTAACAAATGGGCCATATTCGGCAATTTGGCTTCTTTTTTGGGAGTAGGCGAGGGGCTCTTACTGACAAGAGCTCTTTGTCAGTCATGCGCCTCTCCCTTGCCAAGACTGGCTGCGTGCCTGGTTGTACCAAACCACTTGCATTTTCCAGTCCTTGTTGTAGATGATGAAAAGGTGTAGCATTTCATCAAGTACACCCCAGACGACTCTTGAAGATATCGCCCATTTCCGTAGAACACCCTCTTAGAATGGCATCTGTTGGATGTCTAGAGAGCCTCGGACCTCATTCCCGATGTCCAGGGCGTGTGTCATCACCTTCTGATACTTTGAAGCGCAAGCTGCAAACCAACCAGACATTCGTGTCTATTAGAGCTCCAGTCATCAGCGAAGGAATGTCTCAGAAGAAAGAGGTGCCAAATCGAGTTTCGATGTGGATTTTTGTCATATCGCCAGGATAAATGTTCAGCATACACGGAAAATGGGGATGCGATGGTACCCACGGACACCCCGTTCCTACGGCCGCGGCTCCAACCATTGGTTCTGCCACGGGGAGGATGGAAGGATGCTTCGCCGACATAGGAGCAAAATTCATGACATTTTTGCGAAATTCAGCACGCCATCTTACGGGCGCCCGGTGGAGGACGCCCGTGAAATGGCGACCTCAGCCTCAGCTTGGCGTAGTTTATTCCGAGATTTACCTCTGAAATGAGCTTTTATATGGAAAGTTGGAAAGCAAACAAATTCCTTGAGCCAGAGAACGTCGCAGTATATCAATGCAATGCGGCGGCTGCAGTGGAACGACGCTGGTAAAATGTAGGACTGACTGTGAGCGATCAGGCTGTACACGCTGGAGGCGACACAAAAATTCTGCTGAGTGACTCGTTTATTCACCGAATGTAGCTCGTTCACACGACGTTATCAGTGTGGATTGAACGGTGCATTACTTACGCTATACATGGTGTATCATCGCGTGACAGCTCTAATGTGCTCTACGATCGTAATAGCATAGGCAAATAACAAATATCATAAGAGATTGCGCTCCAATCGAACATGGCGTACGCAAAAACCAATAGACCTCACCGACTCCACCACGATCAACGAACGCAGTTTGTTTTGGAAGACTCGGCTGGCAAGTTCGGTTTGGCTTTGGCACAATCTCTTTCACAGGTGTTCCAGGCAAGACCGAAAACTGAAACGCCGTTTCGGAATAAAGCCAATTCGACATTCAGATCAAACGGGGCAGCGCGCCTATGCACCCCTGATACGTACATCCCAAACACCCCACGACCATCGAATGAGCATAGACATCAGATAAACCACTAGATTCTACTACGCCTGACCACTACATGCCGTCAATCATTGACCTATCGGCGCTCGTCCCATCCGCTTTCTGGGGCGTCGTCTCGGCCGTCTCGCAGTTCCGCAGGTACCGTGGGGAAAACACAAATGCAATAAACAACGCCAAACCTGTCGGCAAAATCATATGGATTCACAGTTGAACTGCAACTGAGTCCGGCCCGGGCAACAAACCAACAATGCAGGGCTTCAGTGGCGCCTCGCGAATGAGTGGCCACGCTCCGGAACAACAGCGCCTGAGTATAGGGAAGCGCGCCGCGCTCCTCGGCCGCTGCAGGAATGAGACGAGGGAACGGAGCCTCGGCCGGTGACTGTGACCGTGTCAGTGGTCCACTATCCAGTCACCCGAGACCTCCACCGGCTGCGACGGGTCTGGACCGGTCAAAACAGGCCGCAGATAACGCCAACAACCCGCGAGTGGCGTACGCCGGCCGCCTGAACGACCAGCCGGTTTTGTTTCCTCTGAACAGGCGGAGAACACCAGCCTCAGGCGCAATACGGCCGTTACGTGACGTCTGCTGCCCCGCACATCGTACAAGGCAACACCAAAAATAGACCGCTGCGAGACATCTTAAAGCGGCGTTCGTTATAACATCATAGTACAATCAACCGAATGGACGTGTGTGGCCACGTCCTCTATCACCAGCTACTGCACCATACACCACCAAGCACCACGGCCATTGTGACCGAAAGTGAACAGCCATTCTGCATGCTCTGACCTCGGGAGAGGTCGGCTGTGCATCCGCCCCTAGCCCGGACCCACGACCACCGGTTGGTAGCGCCGTGGAACGACCTCTCCCCCACGCGCGGCAGGAGCTGGGGTCTGAGATTCTCCGCACGGGTGGAGACTCGCTGGACCCCACGACCTCTTGCGGGGAAGCTGCGAGCAGCGATCGCAGACGGCGTCGGCCGCCCACCGGCGTCGGACCAGCCGGCGGGAGAAGGAGGCCAGCCGAGAGCGACCCTGCCGCGGCCCGCCACGTGTCGGGAGACTGCGCGACTGACGTCCGTTAGGCGCCAGAGGCATGAGTCCCGCCGCACACGCCCCAGCAGGCCAAGAGGAAACGCGCCGGGTGACCAAGCGTGGCTCGATACGACTGAGCGACAGCCTCCTGACGACCCTAGAGGGGTAACAGCACCGTCCGCCGCTGCCAGGCCTGGGCACGCCGGGCCGCCCGCCGCTGCCAGGCCTGGGTACGCCGGCCATCCCGCCTCCGCCGCCCGCCGCTGCCAGACCCGAGCACGCCGGCCACCCCGCCTCCACTGCTCGCAGCGCTGGCGAGCGACGCCACCCGTCTGTCCGTCACCAGCCGTCGACAGCCGCCCTCTTGCAAGTTACACCTAGCGGACGCCGGCAGCCGCGGTCACGCAGTGCGGTCTCACGCGGCGCCGGCGGCAAACGACGGCGAGGCGGGCAAGGTCAAGCAGTGCGTCGAGGCCGGGTCACACTGCGGGGCCCGGCCGGGAGGGCCGGGAGGGCCGCGAGCCAGGTCAGGTCGCGCCCGAGCGTGCCCCGGAGCGGGCGGCGCTCAGGTGGTGAAGCCGAGCCGCGCCACGGCCATGTTGCGACGCAGACGCATGATCTCGCGGTAGATGTCTATCACGGAGCCTTTGACCATGCCCTGCTGGATGTAGCGCAGGTAGTTGAGGAAGTCGCACACGGCCGTGATCTGCCCGAGGATGAGAAATATCAGCGGCAGGCGGCGGCGGCGGCGCCGACATTCGGGCGTCGCCATGCCGCCGGCCGGGCAGCAGCCTCGTGCCGGAGAGCCACACGTCGGCGCAAACATTCATGAAAACACATACAGGGATCTCGCGGGCTGAGGCTGGGAGTGAAAACTCCAATGCTTCGCAGCACCACAACTGCTCTCAGAATGAGGCCTAGCTGGCTGGGCTACATTTCACAAGACGCAGGGATCGCAGCAATGTGACAGGTCTCAGCAGCATCAAGTGCCACCAAATGGTTTTGGCACACAGACGCTAGGGCAGAACGTGGCACAAAAAGATAGCCGGGACATATCACTAAGCTCATAGCTGTTTCAGATCTTTTCTTGTTTTGGTGCAAATCTTTCCCGCTAACGGCACGTCAAATCATGTATAGTATGAACCTGCCAACACCAAGGCAAGTTGGCAGCATCAAGGGTTTACAACATGCCTTTTTTGACAGCCCACGGCATAGTTAACATATTGAAAATACAATTTGTGCAGCAAAGAGATTACTGATATTCAACCCTTCATATGTCAAGGTCATGTAGGTTAAACTTCACATGCAGCTCGTTCACGTCTTGTCCACAATTTTCTCTCGGGTTACTCCATCCGCCAGTCTCTGCCATAGGTTCGGACCGTTCCACCACTGACCCGGTTGCGGCAGATCTGCGAGATGTCCATCCAGTCGGGCCGGCACGGCAGCTTCATGCGGTAGCGGCACGTCCTGTGCACGTTGAGCAGGGCGCACCGCCTGGAATCGTCACTGCTGAGCACAGAGGCGGGCGTCACCGCCGGGAGCGGCGCATCGCGGCGGCCGGCCGGCCCGGCAGCCGAGCTCGACACCGAGGCGACGCCGACGCTCGCAGCGACGGGAGCCGGGCCGGCGCCATGCCCAGGCAGGCGCGAACACTCATCAGGCACGAACACGCAGCAGCACACGGGCGGCGGCGCCGCCGACGCTCGGCAGCGGCAGCCGGCGTGGCACGTTCACAACAATCAAACTGCCAGTCGCGGTGAAAACATCAACATCTGAGACGTTCAGGCGGTGACACGGCCCGAACGGGCGCACGGATGCACGTGCGGCGGTACAAAGCGGCGTGCTTCGGCGCTGCTGTGCCCCGCTGTGAATTGCGGAGGAGTCATGCCTCGGAAAGGCGAACACTTAGGCACGCCCTAGACCCCTCACATGGAAGCAGAGTCAAGTAATTCCCGTCCCGAATCAGTCCTACGATATCATGCTAGCATAGATTATCTTCTTAAGAGTGCTGATCACGAAACTTCGCAGAGTAGAACTCAGCGGAACTAACTCCCGATTGCGGGCCGATTGCAGCATGCGTCATGAAAAAAATAAATGCACGTAAAACGAACGGATTACTTACGCGTAAACGAACGAACGCATAACTGCGAGCGTACCAACCATATCGTATCATTTATAGCATTCATATTTCGTTCAGCACGAAATTATTCCATGCTGACGCTCCCCATGAATAACGGTTCCGTCATTTTTGGAGGATACAACCCAAGAATATACCAGAACTCAACATGGCGTAGAGCACAGGTCCGAGAAAAGCAGGCAGCCCAGCGAAACGCAGCAACAATGAAACATGCGCTATGCCATGCTTCCATCATAGGCTGCTGCACAAGTTATCCTTACCACACAGCATGACGGGCCATTCATCCCAAGCTCGCTCCGGTAGTACGGTATTCTGGTGTGGCATGTCATGAGATGGCTGAGCGTTTCGTACCCGCCACGCGGAGCGCGCCCCCAGGCCAGAAGCGCGCCGTGCCTACCTGGGAAAGTTGGGCCCGCGGATGCCCGTGGATACGTCCTCGATGCACACCGAGTTCTGGAGGACAGCGCTGGTGACCTGCTCGGTCAGCAGGTCGCTGGCGAACCGCAGGCACGGCTCGATGTCCTCGCGGTAGACGTCCGAGAGGAAGGGCGCCGTCAGCTCCAGCGAAGGCCTCTCGCGCCACGCCGACACGTCAGAGAGGAGGCGCGGGTCCACCTGGCGCACGCAGCACGCAGCAGCCTCAGCGCCGCACCGGCTCCGGTCACAGACGTGCTGCATCGCTCAGCACCGCGCCGCGACCATCAGTGACACGTGTTCACCAGTTACAGACAGAGCACTAGTTCCAGGTGTGACAGCATGACACGCACGAGAAGTGCTCCGCTAACTGCCAGGACGCAGACAGCAAATGAGCGGCGGGATCAGTGTCGTACCAAACACGCTCCGGAACGTGACGCGCACGGCTCACCGTCCGCAGACAACCAAGACAAGGGCGACATCCCTCGGCTTTGCGGCTGACTGAATCAGCGACAAGGCAGACGGAGCTCCATCCGTAGACTGGCTCCCGTAACAAATTGTGGTACGGGACCCCCAGGTGGCAGCACTGGCCGCAGGCGGCGGCAGACGGGCGTGACACAACCCCGGGCCGGTCGCTGACCTCGTCAATGTGTTCGGGTGCGGCCGGGTGGTGTGGCGGCGAGCGGGCCGGCGAGTCGGGCGGCGACGCGTCCGGCCGCGTCAGCTCCTGGTTCGACGGCGAACGGTGGTGGCCCTTCTTGAATATCTTGATGCCTGTGGAGCAGCCGCCGAGAGTGAGCGACGGACACGCGACGGCCGGTGACAATGGCGGGCAGCGCTATGATGGGTGATAATGTGCGCCATGATGGGCAGATGCGCCATGATGGGCAGATGAGCCGTGATGAGCAGATGAGTGCGGGCAGCACGCCAGCAACGGCAGAGATACCGGCCGGTCTTGCTGAAGACTTTACACCTCCAGCGCGCCCGGAGAGCAGACTCGCAGCACCCAGTCACCGTGGTGGGAAGCTCAGCCACAATGTTGCGGAGCTCAGTCACAATGGGTGGTGCACAACCATAATGGTGGGGAGCTCAGTCACAATGGTGGGGAACTCAGTCACCATGGTGCAGAGCTCAGTTACAATGAGGGGAGCACAGCCATAATGGTGGGGAGCTCAGCCACAATAGCGGGAATCTCAGGTACAATGATGGCGAGCTCAGCCACCATGGTGGGGAGCTCAGTCACAATGGTGGGAATCTCATGTCTAGTGGTGGTGAGCTCAGCCACAATGGTGGGGAGTCTAGCCACATTGACGGGGGAGGGGGGGGGGGGGGGGGGGCGTTACATTGGCAGCTCAGCCACAATGGTGGATGAGTGCAGATGGCATCCTCACCAGGGAAGGTTTCGGTACGCGATGTCTTGAAACATGATTGAGTTAATCATTGCAAAATTTGAGTATTGGGATCTGAATCTGAATCATGCCAGACCATGAACCTTCACAAACAATAAAACACTAGTCCAACGTCGGCACGCCCGGCTGGCCGTGGCTGCCGCCAGGCCAGGGTCGGCTCCAGCCTTACCATTTGACTTGCCCAGGTCAATCTGTGGATGCAGGTGGGCGTTGGGTCGGCTGGGCGTGGACGTAATGACCAGCGTCTTGAGCGCGGCCACCTCAGCCTGCAGCACGTCGATTTTCATGGTGGCCTCCTGAAGCGCCTTCTCGGCCGCGGCCTGCTTCTCGTTCGCCGCCAGCACCATCTTGTGTGCTTCCTGCCGACGGAGGCGGATGGTTAGTCACGGACAATGCCACACCCTTCACAGCACTTTGAGTGTCTCCATCCATGTAAAACAGTGGACGGACGTGGACAGGGTCAAACCTCATCTGACACAATTCTGGGAGAGTGGAAGCCAAAGTAGAAACACTGAATGAAATAGACTGAAATCACTAAAACATGTATGGTTATTTCCAATCACAGAGGTGGAGACAGCGAGCAAACACACCAAGGAAGCTTAGCAGGGCAGTGAGGATTGCAGCAACATTGATGCTTGACACTCAGTATGATGACATCAGGGCTATTATGATGAACCTTGCAGCAGTCAAGGTACTGCCTACACTTCCAATAGATGCACACACAAAGTGGTGCTGTAACATAAACAGTACATAATTTAGCAGGCACAAAGTCCAGTAGCATACACTTCTACAACTATTTCCCCAGATGAAAATCTCTGATTGCCAACTATTTGTCTGAGTGACATCACGGGCGACACTCCAACCTTTGCAAATGGTCTGATATACCCCATCCACAAATGGCCCACACCCCCTCCCCCCACAGCCCACCATGGCAGCTCCAGCCCACCTGGAAAAGACTGGCCGTCAGCTCTTCCATCTCGGCCTCGATCTCGTTCCGGATGCGGTTCAGCTTGGCCACCTCCTCGTCCTTGAGCTTGAGCTCCTGCTGCGCGGCGCCCAGCTCCTTCTCCAGCTGCTCCAGCTTGTCGAGGCCGCGCACGCGCGGCGGCTCGCGCGGCGACGGCGCGTCGGGCGGCGCGCCGCCATCGCCGCCGCCGCTAGCCGCGCGCCGCTCCGGCTCCTCCAGGCTGAGCTCGAGCAGTGAGACGTGGCAGGCGGCCAGCGTCAGCGGCGCCACACGACCGCGCCGGCCGTCCGCCTCGTCCGACCAGTCGGCGTCGCACGCGCCCTCACCCAGCTCGGCCACCGCGTGCGCCGACGGCGGCGGCGCCACGTCCTCAGGGCCTGGCATGGCCTGTGGGCAGAGGTACACACACATTAAAGTTTTGGTTGGGAGACTCTGGTACCTTGCCAGCATGAAACAAGTTTTGAAAAATAATTCCCATGGTCATATGTTTAAGATGCATGGCTCAGAACCAGAGTTCTTGCAAAATATAATGTTTATGCCTAAACCACATGCAATGTGGGAGACACATTCCAATTCAATGAATATATTGCACTTACAGATGTGTAACAGTGACAATAAATATATTGTTTTGCATTTATTGTTGGTAGGTGAAAACCTGTTTCTTTGGCAAGAAGTTTGGTTGTGTGCTATGACAAACAACTTAGACTGCTTTGAACAGACCTTAACCCCTGACAATGGGAGATATGACCATGTCTTTTGCATGCATGATTTTCCAGAGTTCCTGCTGAGCAGTGCTTTGCCCATGATCAAAGGCACAAGAAAGCACAAGAGTGGCCTAATCATGTTGTTTTATGCTTCTTGGAATTGAAGTTATCTTTTACAGTCATAACCTTCATTACTTCATTTCTCTAGAACGTTGGTTAAGACTATTTAGGGCATGCCCAATCCCTCTAAATCCACTGTCACAGTAGTCCAGTCTTCATATTGCTTTAAATACAGCTTATTTTTCATACAAACATGATTGAAGACCAAATACCTAAATCCCCAGTAAAGAGTAATACAATCAATGAATAATGAAGTCACATGGACTTTGACTTAAGACTCAACAGACTTTGCTCACATCAGAAATGTTTTGACTGTAAGGAGTTTCCACTTCATTAAAAAATGTCTATCCCTTGACCAGAGCCTGGGATGGTTATTTCCTTGAGCAAAATCGGGACCCACAACTATTGAGAAACAACCCAGTTTTCAAAACAAAGCAAATCAAATGGCATTATGTTAAAAATTCACATGATATCTTAAGTGCAAGAGGCTAAACAAACAAACTTATCATTTAAGTGCTTGCATAGTAATAATCAGACATAAGTACCCTTTTATGGCTAATCACAATAACAACAAAGCCCAGGCTGAAAAATGTATGTGGTTAAAAATATCAATGCGATTTTAAATATGAGACACAATGTCCCCCAGGACTAGTGACCATGGAAAAACAACTAAGCACCCCCCCCCCCTTCTGAGAAGCTAGGGGCGCAGGGAATGATCCTTACATGGTTTGAGCACCAGGTGATCATCCTTATCATGTGGGTCTACAATGAAAATAAACTTTAAATAACTATGCCTAAATCCAGGATCAGCATCCATAATTGGGTATTCAAGAAAAAGCATCAAAACTTCCATTAACTTCTCTTAGGACAACATACATATGTTTGCACTAAGCTTTCACTTTAGTGAAAGCCCATATGACCTGGCCATATCAATCTAAACCAACCTCCAACAGCTTTTCAGGACCAACTATCATCTTCCCTGGACATACTCAAGCGAAACAACATTTTTTTCGGGGGGGGGGGGACGAAGGCAACAGCCTACGTTGTCTACGCAAGCCATACAACTGATCACGCGTCCTTGTTCGCACAGAGCAGACTTTTGACGCTGCACGCGATGTGAGTGCTCACTTCGTTGTCTAGGTCACAGGGCAGTCACACGACGATCGTAGAAGACACCAACCTACCTAGTTAGCCGACGGTGGGCCGTGTTTCCCCTTGCCCTTGAACGACAAGTCCCCGGAAACCACGATATCCATCGGACCGTGATACTCAATGCCGATCGAGGCGTATCTATTGTTTTGGTTCACGCGAGTGTGCGCGTCACTTTCGCCCCAGAAAGTGATGCCAGGTAATACGACCCTAGAGATATTTGCGTTATATTTCACTATTACCTCTTAATCCAGAGATAATTCTAGCGGCGCCATAAGAGGAATAGAAATTCTCGACTTCCAACTTCGGCCTGGCCCATGTAATGAGGGGTTATTGTCTGTGCCTAGAATGTGCATGTCTGGACGTGAAAAATATCGGTATCTGATCCAAGATTCCGGAATTATAAAATCCTATAGGACCCAGGATCCATTGTGGATCCAGGCACATGTATGTTCAGAAATATACCGAAACGTGCCTAAGATGTAACGAATTTGATGTTCCGGAAGCCCCTGTAACATTTACGGAAGGCAACGAGCCAGAAGGTAAAGAGATCGACTCCAGTGGGGGAATTAGATCAAGCGCATTAGGACCAGTCAACAATGCAAGAGCTGGTTGGAACATCTTTTTTTACTTTTCTGATGTCTCAGCCGGAGGTGGTGCTTTGCGTTTTACATGAGGGGCGGGGGCGAATCCATAAAGATTGACCATTCTGTATCCGAGACACATATCTCCGCGAGTTTTGTTCACTTACTCTGCGGCCATAAAGAAAGCCCTTTAGCTTCTGGTTTTTCGGCATTATGAGCTCAAAGTCCTCGCGTTGGGTAAACGACCTTCGATGTATAAGGAGGTACCGGTTTGTGATTTTTTTGTGCTGTGTGCTGTGTGGAGCCTTGTGATTTTAAATGACTGCTGGGCTCCTGCCGGCATTATCAGTCACTAGTGCTAAAGAAGATCCTGCATTGAATGACGTGATGGCAATGCTCCAGGGCTGTCTAAATGCGATGGTCCCATTCTGCTTGTAATCGAAAATACAGATAGGAGCGTATCCTGAGGATGGGTGGGAGAAGGCATGAGCTATGGTACCCGACCCCTTAAACCACTCAAAACTCATGGTGAAGGAATACCAAGACCTTTATTCCGGAACCACATAGCCTTTATTTCAAAGAGGCACCAAGTTCCTGGAACACCGCAAAAGATCCCGAATTTTCATTTGCGGGAGGTATCGAATTCCAGGGGCAATACAAGATATGTGCGTTGTCCGTTTGACAAAATCCTGGATTGGTGCATTCGGTAAAAAAGTACTAAAACCAATATCTCCACACTATAATCTTTATTTTCAACAGGCACTAAATTCCGGAGAACATCCCGAAGGGCCGCAAGCCTCCATTATCAAGAAACGCTACAATGTTGTGCCTTACACGCCGAAACAAATCCTGGAATATTTTCTGAGCGCGATGTTCAGCAAAACTTCTATTTTTGGGCGCCATGACCTTCATTTTCAAGAGGATCTTTGTACGCTTCACTGCGACAAAATTCCTGATCGGCCCGTTCTTCGAAGTTCGGTAAATTGTCACCAATGTGAATTTCTAATTTTGGGGATCCGTAACCTGCATTTTCTCCAGACGCTTAATTCCAGGGGTACCTGAAACGTTCCTAGACCTGTATATTCGATGACAACAAATTTCAGGGCGACCCATTTGGCTAAGGGACACCAAAACCTCATTTCGCACCATCAAAACATCTATACACTAGAGGCAATAAGTCCAGTGCCGCCTACTGAAAAGGCCCCGAAACCTTCATCTTAAGGGACACCACGATTTCTTTGCTTTTCATACTGACCAAATTCTGGATAGACCCCCCCTCACAAAAGAAGCGCCACAGCACCTTCATTGTGGAGTATCACAAACAACGACAGCTACGTCTGCGGCACGTGTGCGCGGATTGAGCATGGTGCCCTTCACAAGTTCTTCCATTTGATGGGACAGGAACGCGGTGGCATCACCGATCCGCACAGAACATTCAATGTTGATGAAACAGGCATAACAATAGCACAGTCAAAACCAAGGAAGTTCCTGGGCCAAAAAGAGAAATGGCAGATTGGGAGTTTAACAGACATAGATTCATTCGGAATGAAACTATAGATAACGGGTGCTGTCCGATGATGATGATTTGGGCTTTTCGGACGCACCGACTACGATAGTTATATGGCGCTCATAACGGGTGCTGTCCATTTTGCATGATGTATTGCTGTGGTTACAGGCGGTCTTCTCCGCTGCTGCGCCCAACTGGCATCGGTAGCGACGGCTGCCGCTGCCCACTCACTTCCTCTCATTCATCCTCACGGACACGACGTCGCCGACCTTGTTGGTGATGATCATCTGCGAGTCGGTGAACTTGCGCGTGATCTCCAGGTTTGCGTCTTGCTCGTGTTTCCGCGTCTCGAGCAGCTTGTTACCCTCATTGGTGACCGTTCCCGTCACCGCCTTGCCACCTTGCCTGGTGAACTGATGTGGCTGACCCAGTAAAACTCACGCCTCTTGTATGAATGGCGCTAGCGGTGCTGATGGTCCCATGATCGCCGTCTACGTTGATGTCGACGTTGGATTTGGTGTTCGGCACCATCTTCCACTTCATCGCGTCCAATCCCGTTGCCGTCAGCAGGGCTCCGTCGTTGTCTGCAGAGACGAACTAGAAGAAGCCAGCAAAGTGGACCATGCTGCAACCGAGGACGCCGACACCATGCTGTAGCTGGTGCGACAGGCAGAGCGCGACTGAGTATGGGCGGGCCCCTTGCTACTGTCGATGTCTTCGTTATGTCGGCGCTCTGTTTTCGTCCACGTGCAATAAGACCAACGGAGACGAAGATCTGTACCTGTCTGAACGTGGCGAAGCGCTTGGTTAGGTGCGTGTGAGTGTTTGAGTCGTTGTTGACGTTGTTGAGTGTTTGAGTCGTTGCCTAATTGGTAATTGGATTGCCTGTTGCCTGGATTGGATTGGTAAAGTGAAATCGCCGTTGCCACTGTGGGGGTGTCACGTCACGTCCCGGTCGATGGGTCACGAGGTCCGCATTCGCTCAGGCAGCGCACGTGACCCGAACGAGGTCTGTATTCTAGTTTACTGCTTTTAAACCTGTCGGGAGCCGTGCATGGTGAAAAACGAAAAATCCAGGTCCAAGGGAGGCCCAGGCCTTCCCTTGGCTGCCACCCTGGCTGTAATCAAGAGA